AAGGCATTGAGCTTCCCCCGACTAGGACAATCCTTGGTCTAATGTTTTCCCTCACAGATGAAGCATGGTGCCGGAGGTGTCCTCTTCACAAACTGGCCACCTCTGTATCCAGAGTCCCCTTCAGGTCTCCTGTAGAACTTAAAAGTGTTGGGTTTACTTGGCCTGGAGTCTTCATTGGGCCCGTAGTAAGGTTTCCTATCACCTCCTATCTTCCCTAGGCCCTGATATGAGTTGGGTTTGGAGCCGTCTTTGCTTGGTCGCCTGTTGTCTACCAGTTGTTCAGCAACGACCATGGCTGTGGCAAGGTCCTTCACACCTCGTCTCTGGAGTTCAAGCTCGGCCCATTGTTGTAGGCCGTCCATAAAGTTGAAGAGCAAGTCCTTATCTGACATGTCCGTGATCTCGAGCGATAGTGCGGAGAACTCCTTTACGTACTCATGCAATGAGCTCGTGTTTTTTAGGTTCTTGAGCTTCCGACGGGCTTGGTACTCCACGTTCTCTGGATAGAATTGGCGCTTTMTCTCGCTCTTGAACACGGACCAGGTATCAATGGAGCATAATCCTCGCTCCGCATCGGCACATCTCCTGCGCCACCATAACATAGCAACATCAGTAAGATACATAACAACAGTACGCACCTTGGCCGCCTCCTCAACGAGTTCGGTAGCGGTGAAATATTGTTCCATTTGCCACAGCAAGTTGTCAAGTTCCCGGGCATCGCGGGTCCCTGCATATGAGGTGGGCTCGCGGACTTTGATCTTTGGAGGGGCTGGAGCAGCAGGTGCACTGGCTGTACTGGCCATTAGCCTCTTCAGAAGGGTCACCTCGCCCTTCACGTCGTCGAGCTGGATCTGTAGGCACTTCACCAAGTCTTCTAGTGGGTTGTCTGGCCTGTTGGAGCTGTCACCGGACTGGTCCTCCAATCTTTCCACAACCGCTGCTACGGACTCAAGGTTGAGTTGAAGCTCGTCCACACGGTCACGAGTTTCCCCAACCACTGCTTCACAGCACATGATGCGCTTGTCCATGGTCGCAAGCTTGTCAACTGACTTGTCACGTTTGCTAGGCTTTGAGCTGACGCCTTTGTCTTTGGGAGAGCTACCTCTAGGCTCGTCCTCATCATAAACCCGTGAGATCCCTTCTTGGATCTCCTCTCGCATATCACGATTCTTCATCGGGCTGGTGTTGTTGTGGGGCACGACAGGGAGTCGTTGGGCTTGACAACCGCTAGTGTCAACGAGGCTCTGATACCAACTGTCACGGGGTTAATTGATGGGGTCCCGTGCGGCGCTCGATGGGGTCGAGAAAGCCTACAAATGCAAGCAACAACACACAAAAGGAAACAAGAATGCACACAAATTAGACAAAAGGCAACTTGTATTGCATTAATCAGTGGTAAGCACAAGCACACTGTACAGTGTCGAGGGGATCTCGTGCTTAACCTTTACACGCTTATGAGCTCACTYGACTACCTACCTCCCCTCAAAGAGTATGTTAAGCTTTTGGGGGAGTGATAGAATGATACATCAAAATACTGAATATTCATACTACTATTTACATAATTGCCATTGGCATACCCCCCCCCCCCTTTACAAAAAGAGTACAATGACCCAACCCAAGACACTTAGAAGGCGTGTTGATGGCGTGCTGATGGCGCTGATGGTGGCTGATCCGTCACACTACAGCGAGCTGACCTCCCTAGTAGGGGCTGTGGATTGCACCACGGCACCCTCAACCTCGCTAGAACTACCTAAAAGTCTGTCTACGCTAGAACTGGACATGATTAAATAACAAAGGAAGAACACGAAAACACAGACTCACCGAAAAGAAGGATGACCTCGGAAAACAAAGAAAAGAGCGTGATGAAGAATTCTGACGCGACCTCAGAACAGACTTGTGAATTTGTGGTGAGAAAAATGAGTCGCGGGCCCCCTATTTATAGCCGCTATGTCCGAGAACTAACGGTCGAGATCAAAGCGATCCAACGACTCCTAGGAGAACCGGCTGCGCAACCCCATGGATAAAATCGGTTTAGCGCGCTTTTTGACGTCCGCGGAGTTTATAGATCGTGTGACGTCCGCGTGTAGGCCAGACGCGACCTGGGTTTTCCTGGTTGAACCGGGTGGCCGAACAAGTCCGACCCATGAATCATCTGGCTAGCTGCCTAGACCTCGGACCAAATCCACTTGGCTCGTCATGAACTCCCCGCACCGGGTCAGGACCCCTGGCTCGGGGAGTGGGGGGCAATTGATGAAGGGTAATTTGGCCCGACCTAGTAATAGGGAGGCACGTGGACACGACCTAAACTAGCAGGCCGACAGCTCACTCTGACATGCCAAGTCCGCAACG